AAATGCAAAAACTGCAAGAGCACAAATGCACTGTTATTCATGTAAATCATCACTTCATATTTAAATTCCTGTTGTAAATTACACAACTGCATGTCACGAGCCAGTGGTACAGGGATGGTATCAAATGCCAATACCTGATTCATATGACCAGACAGCTTTGAATGACTTTGCTAATTGTATTCAGCAAAGAAAATGTTTTTTTTTCCATAATGCATCAGTCAAAAGCATAGTGCATGCACAAATGCGCGTCAAATAAACATTGAATAACTGTGGCACAATAGTATCGCCACAGAACATGTCCAAACAACAAGGTTTTACCATGGCACATGTTCTAAAACATGGTATATGTACAAAAAACGCATAGTACTACCATGATACTCGTTCAGTAAGTGGTATTTGTGTTATAAACATGTTCATAGTGTCCTTGCATCACTAATGCAGTCTATATGCGACACAAAATCTGTTCGATGCTCGCTCATTAAAGAGTTAAACGTGCGTTTGAGCGAGTCTGGATTAACGCGGAAGTACATCAATTACGCTGTGTGTTATCTTTATATACACACACAGTCGAATAGATTTATATGGGCAACACGTCCACTGCGTTATTTAAACATGCATTTTATATTATCAACAAGAACTTTGTCATTCATTTGTAGTTTAACAGCAGCACAGCATCCTCCTGTCACGTGATCTCCTCGTGCTCAGGCACCGTGCCGTGTCTCGCGCTCTGATTGGATCATTCCACTTCCCTCATTCGCGTTTCATAATCCCCCATCAGGAAGCTTGGCTTTGTTTATCAAATCTTTAAAGCTTTGTGGATTTTTCTTTCATAGACGAACCGCCAATAAACCTTTAGAGATCTTTCTCTGGTATGTTATAATCAAATACTGCTTTAAAAAAAAACGCTATAGTGATGATTTTATAGTTTGACGTCATAAATATCAATCCGCGCGTGCCTTTGACGGAAGTAGTTCCCGGTCGGTTTGGCGGATCACCTTGAGCTCTCGATCGGGAGCGCATCAGTCACGGCCGACTGTCATCAAACGCAGGTGAGTACCGTTAACGTTATCTTCAGAGCGACACTTACAAAAAAAAAATTATATAAACCTCATAGTTATATTTTTCATTAGCAACGTTATTGTGTACAGTTCTAGCAAAGGGTTTCGTTCGTCAGAGCAGCTGCTGTCATAAAATAGCGCAGGTTTGGGTTATTTTCACTCAGCATTTCCTCACCCCGCTGAGAATTTTTAACCGCTTTTGAGCTATTTGTGTATTTAATTGATCAAAAGTTCATTTTCACTACGTTTCCACCACACTTGACGTCTTTAAGTGTAGATTTCAGTGCTGTTTTATGCTGACTAAGTTAACCGTCTCTTGACGTTCATCGTCGTTTGTAATTTTAACGTTGGACAGCGGATCATCATCGTTTGTAATTTTAGCTATTTGTGTATTTAATTAATCAAAAATTCCTTTTCACTACGTTTCCACCACACTGGACGTCTTTAAGTGTAGATTTCACTGTTTTATGCTGACTAACCGTCTCTTGACGTTCATTGTCGTTTTTAATTTTAACTTTGGACGGCGGATCAATAACCGTCATTATTTTTAAATTCATTCGAATTAGAGGCTTACGTACGTGCGCCTCGCCGGCGGAGAATGTGACGCAGAGGCGGGACGTGACCCGCAGCACATCCGCCACATTCTCCCCGAGCTCGACTAGACCAGAACCACCTGTGTGCATGCAGATGATGAGGATTGCGATGTTTGATCCTCAGAGCGGCTCTGAACGCGCTGCACGCATGCCTTGATATCTGCATTATCATGGAGTGCATTGCGTTAAGTTATCACCCTTTATTAAGTGCAGTGATAAATGAATGGTACTGACTCAGAGATGCGGACTCTGGCTCGTCGTGTGGGCACGCACGAACACTTCGTTGATAGGTGCTAATTATGATGTTTGTGCGAGGGAGGAACTGGACAGTTTTGTGTGTTTGTCTTGCAATCACATACCTTGACACTTGTGCGTTGTCAGGTTTTTAAAGTCTTGTTCTCAGTCTTCTTGATTTATGTGTCAACTCCATTGGCCTGCGTCATTCAGAAAGAAATGGAAAGCTTTTTACATTCCCCAGGGGCATCTTTACTCAGCTCAAAATCCAGCCAGACTAAATCATGCCTGAGTTTACATCTCACAATTCTGTTTTTGATTCTGCCACAAAATTAAAAAAAGAAAGGTAGTTGCAACCTTTTATCTCACAATTCTAAGATTCTCAAGAAAAAAGGCAGAATTGTGAGATATAAACTCAGAATTGTGAGGCCTACTGTAATTATGAGAAAGTTGCAATTATTTTTTCTACCCTGTCATGAAACAAGCTTACATAGTACAGTTGAAATTGTGTAAATGCATTTATGCCGACCCTAAGTAGCATTAAATAGGAGTGCAAATTTGGCACAAGTCAGTTTCTGAATTTCAATTGGAGTAGTAAGCTGAATTGCAATTTGAGTGTGAATTAAAGAAACTAGTATTAAAATGGAATGAAATAAAGCAGTATACCAAGCCAACATAATAATACATTTTATTTATTCATAAATTATATATGGTCTATTCCCAGAAATGATATAATTATCATGTTTGAAATGCCACCTACGGAAATATGCATTTATATATTTCATTACATTTTCTGTATTAAATTCATTTATGACCCAGGGTGAAAGAGGACTTCATTAAATGCTATTCGGTAAATTATTGCTCTTTCTGTCATTCGAATTTCAAACATCCTGTGAATTGAGTTGAAATGGAGCACATGCATAAATTCTGATTTGTGCTCAGCCCTGCATAGCTTGAATTCATGTGTGCATTAACAGACAGCAAATTAGCTTTATTATAAACACTGTTGGCACTTTGTAGATGTTTCACCATCTGCTTGATCAAACTGTCACTCTTTCGGGGAAGCTGTTTTCAGTTCTGCAGTGAGTGTGTGTCGATGCAATATGGGAATGTTTTCTGTAACATCCTGTTGAGTTACACCAGAATGTCAAAAGCTTCCACTAAACCAGCAGAAGAGACCAGTAAAACAGACGCCCACAGCTCTGCAGTGACACAAACCGGCCTTTCATAGACCTCACCAGGGACGTCCCAGTGCACAGTTATTAGTCATTGTTCTGAATCATCGAGTAAAGAGAACAGACTCACCTCAGTCGCTCTTTGCTGCAGTAAAACACCCGTTTGGCTTCATGAACTGCAGTAGATATGAGTCCTGCAGACCTCTACGCCACTCCGAGCCTGTCGTGTTTCATACTGGTACAATCCCAGATAGTCCAGTGCTCCTTATGGCATCCCATTCCTATTTTAGCCCAGCATTGTAATGTGATCTACAGTACAGTGCTGTTTACTGCCTGCAGTGGCTGGTCCACAACTAAACCAGCGTGTTTAGGGACTAATGTTGGGCTGAAGTCTTATTAGAGTCCTGCTCGTGCAGGACAGCAAGTGTGCGCGTGGCTTGCGGGTTTGATCCTCTCTGAAGAGAAGAGGATTTAGTGCTCAAACTCCTCGGCAGCACAGTGCATGCTGCTTCAGTCTGCCCAGCATCCGTGTCTGCAGCGCTGTGATTGGGGAGAGAAGGTCACGCACACTGGCGCTCCTCTGCAGGGCTCTGACAGACACACGGTGCCTTATTTCCCAGAGCCGAAGGGCCTACAGGTGGGTTCAGGGCCGCTGTTTCTGATGAGTAAAGGAACTAGGCTTTGTGAAGCCCCGTTCACACCAAGAACGATAACTATAAAGATAACGATATTAGCGTCCACACCAGTGAACGATATCGTCTGTTTATTCTAAGCGCCCGCGCCTCTGCCGCTTTAAATTC